GTAGGGACAGACCTGAACAGGTTTCCACTACCAAGCAACCAAGAGAGAGCATTGAAACTTCCTCTTTCAATAGATGATTTGCAAAAAATCTCAAAACATGTTCAACGCTTTGTACCTGGTCCAATGGGTTCAACTGGCACAAAAGCATATCTCAAAGACCTAGAATTCAGACTGTGTGGTTATCCTAATGCTACGGTTGAGGATAAAATCAGTCTGATAAGGCTCACTTCGGACAGAGAGGTGTTCACCTTCATCGAGCGTCAACCTGATGCAACGAGAAAGGATTACAACCTTCTGTGTGAAGCTTTGATCAGGGAGTACGACCCCTGCACGGGACCTGCTGGTTTCCCAGCTGCTGACAAGGTCACGCAAGGGAAGCATGAACATCCAAAGGTTTATTACAAAAGAATCTTCCAAGCTTATTTTGGTTACAGAAATGAAACCGGAATGGAGGAGGAAGAAGGTTTTAAATTTGTTTTCAGCAAAAATCTCCACACTGACATTAAATTGTCAGTACAAATGATGGCAAATTTCAAAGAAAAATCCATCAATGAGATTAAACAGTGTGCTGTGAACGTGTTTGAGGCATGTTCTCATGCTAAGACGCCCATAGAGGTGTTTCCTGGTGTAAAGGTTAAACCCCACTCCCTAGAACTGGAAGGACGGCGTGCATCGCCGCCCCCTCCTAAGAAAGGCGAGAAAAAGCAGTCTTTTCAAACTAACAAACCGTGTCATGAAGGTGCACGCTGGGACAAAAAAGCTCCTCTTTCAGAGGATGAACGTGATTATCGTAAATGGGGTGTGCGTAGGACGCAAAGATATGGGATCCAAGAGGACCCATATTATCAGGGGAAGTCCGAAAAGGAACCCCCAAAAGACGTACCTAACCGTCCCCCACCTCGGACGAAACGAACCGAGGCGAAAAAATCACAAAGGTTCCAGAAACAAGGCCCTACACCTCTGAGCTCGGAAGAGACAGAGAAACTACGCAGGTTTTTAGAAACTTTGAAACACACTGACACGGGAAACCAACCTGGAGCACTATGCAGTGATGTAATCACTATTACATCTGAGGGCGCGAATGACAACATTACAGATGTCGGTGGAACACACCAAGACATTGTTGTTGTTGCCTCCAACAACCCCTCATCGGAAGAAGGGGGGGTAAACTCACACACAAACGATGACGAGTCATCGCAAGCTGAACACTCAGAAACAGCTACCGCTGTGCTGACGGTTCAGACAAACCGAGATTACACAGACAAGGCTGAACGTGTGAAGAAACGTCAGAAAAAACCTAAGAGGTTTCTGTGTAACTTTATCAGAAGGGGGGTCGCCAAGAAGGCGTACCTGTCAGTAACACTCGAAGGTGTCCTCACACATGAAGCACTTCTGGACGGTGGGGCAGACATAACAATTATGTCAGCTAAACTGTTCGAGGAGCTGAGGACAGCCGCTGCCGGTGTTAACAGGATAATACCTCTCACAGAATGTGCTATAGAAATGCAGGGTCTATCAGAGAAGAGGACAACCCTGACAGCTATAGCAATGGTTCACATGCAGGTTGGCAGAATGACACTATACCACCCGGTACACGTGTCTCGTGTTGACTCATTCCCATTTTTGGTTGGCCAGGATTTTATAAATCGATTCGACGCGATTATAGATTATGGTGATCAAACGATGTGGGCAAAAGTGAGCAAACCACTGCCAATACAAATGCCTCCGGAGTGTGACCCAAACTGCCTAACAGCAGGTACCGCAGAAGGCGCAAAGGACTCCTCAGCCGAGGACACAAGTCCGGTGAGTACTCCTCTGAAATCATGTGAAACCAAAGAGACCCAACCGGTGGTCCAAACTCTGACCCAACAAGACAGCCTCCTCTGTGAGCTGGAGCAGTCAGAGTCCACCAAACACTACCTACCACTGGTAGTTAAAGGTGTAGAGATCCAAGGGTTCCACACCAACGATGCTGTTCTGTCTCTGTGGACAGATAAATCGGCAATTAACCGAGCTTTCTATGAAACCTTGGTTCACAAACACGTGGGCCTAGAACTAATTAAAAAAGCTTTCCGCTTTCCATTAGTTCCCAATAGTTCCCAGGTAATGACCGCAGAAGGAGTCATTAACCTAAAACTGAACTGGAACCAACGAGAACTGGTTCACCCGTTTCTCGTGATCCAAAACTTACCACATGCAACCTACATAGGCTCTGACATTTTGGTAAGGTTGGGTGTCCACGTGGACACCACCAACAAGGTGCTGTGGTCCCTGAAACCAGCCACAAAGGATCCTCCTGTGCTAGACACAGCAAACCTTAAGGCTGGGCAGACCATTCCAGAGGCCTGCCAGGTTGCTAGCAACCAAACCACTACAGTACCACCTCAGGTGATTAACCTAATGGTGCGAATCCACATCATAGCTGGACAAGCTATTAGCCATAAACAGGCATATTTTCAACCTTCTCCTGCATTTTTCAACTTGGGACTGTCCGTGGAAGCCACGGACCAAGTGAGCCTTGACTCCAGGACCACATCTATTGCTGTGTGTAACACGGGCACGGATGAGGTGATGATCCCAAAAAACACTATGCTAGGATGGTTGATTTCCACTGATTTTCATGATTTTGAACTAGGCATTCCATTTCTGGGAGGACTCCCAGA